CTCGGGCATCGGCAAGGGGATCATCGCCAGCAGCATCGGCACCATCCTCAAGTCCTGCGGGCTGCATGTCACCTCCATCAAGATCGACCCCTACATCAACATTGACGCTGGCACCTTCTCCCCGTACGAGCACGGTGAGTGGCCCCGCGGCGCCGAGCTGTCAGCGGGCGGCCGGCCCTGAGCTGGGCACCGGGGTCTCCCGGGTGGGTCCCGGGCTGGCTTTGCCTGGCGGGGAGCAGCTCCTTTGCGTGGCAGAAGGGTTTGCCTCTGGTCCTGCACGTAGGACCCGAAGCTGAGCCTGCCGGCAGTTTCTGGCTGACTGGTGGGGCTGATCGTGCCACCACAAACAGCAGAGATGAGCTCTGGTCTTTCATCACTGCTGCCTGGTCGGGGGGATTCGGTTCTCAGTGTAGTAGTCCTCTTTGTTATATAAGGCTTTTAGTTTTATTAGCCACTCCTAAGCTTGCTGTAGCAATCAAAGAAGGTGTTTCCTTACATTGAATTCTTCCAGCTGTCACAGGCAAAACCAGCAAATTGCTGATGCGGACTGTTTCCCGTTGACGTCTGTGCCTTTCTCTGTGTGCCGCAGGGGAGGTGTTTGTGCTGGATGATGGAGGGGAAGTGGACCTGGACCTTGGTAACTATGAGCGCTTCCTTGATATCCGACTCACCAAAGACAACAACCTGACTACTGGGAAGATCTACCAGTACGTCATCAACAAGGAGAGGAAGGGAGACTATCTTGGCAAAACTGTCCAAGGTGATGTGAAGCTTCATTTCTGAGGCTTAGAAGTCTGTGTTTCTGTTCTGGTTCGATGCTTTTGTATTTCATCCTAGCTTAGGTCTTATATGCTGTCCTTGTGATGTTATTTGTTTGTGTTTTTAAAAGGGGAAGTAGAAGACACAGCAGTGCAGGTGTAGTGGTGCTGCCATACTGATTCAGGTTACTTGTAAGCTCCTCAAAAATTTCCAGTGGTCAGCAATGTGCTGCCTGTTGTTGGGACTGAATGCTGGACTTGAGTCCAGCTGTCTAACATAGCCAATAGTAAATGTGAACAGACTTCAGACTAGCACACCTGTGGATTGTTTCTTAGCTGGTTAAAGTGGTTATTGCTTTTGATAACTGTCATGTAATTGGAAAACCCAAAGGATCTTTGAGGATCAGACCAGTCCCTTCCCTTTGTAAGCGTCCTCCACAGCTGGTTTGGATAAGGACTTTTGCAGACAGTTTAAAACAGAGTAACTCTCTCTGCTTAAGCAAAGAACTGTTTGTACTTGAATCTTGCAGCTTAAAGGAAATGTTGCCTACATGTGTTTAAATTGAGGCAGGATTACATTTCCTGCCAAGGCACTTCTCTTGAAAATCGCAGCCAAGAATAATCACTTCAAAAATGCATACTTCTTTAAAGACGCAAATCAGTGCTGAAGTGATACGGGAAGCACTGGCTAGTTAGTTTCAGTAATTTGTTCTGTAATGAATTAGAGGGAGAAAAGCGCATGAGTTGTGGCTTTAACCCTTGCCTGGGTTTCTTTTTCAGTTGTTCCCCACATCACAGATGCTATACAGGAATGGGTAATGAGGCAGGCACGAATTCCTGTAGATGAAGATGGCATTGAACCCCAAGTTTGTGTGATTGAGGTTTGTAGCTCTGAAAGAAAAAAAATAGTTCTGCTTCTTGTATGGAGTAAACTGTATACTTATTTTGCACGGTAAAATTTTTTCACAGTAATGTTCAACTTTGCATGTTGATGAATTGGTTAAAAATCCCTCCTTGCTAGCCTCACTTAGTCGAATCTTTTGAATGCTCTGTGTCTGAATCCACATGTAGAAAGAGGTAGGTGTTGGACAGTTACATATCTGAGATGCTTTGCTCTCTTGTGTATTGTGAATTAGTCTATAGAATGAATTTTAGGTCTTGTAAGTATATACCAAAGCCTGAGTTAGTCATGCTGTGCCCTCTTCTTCCTTGGTGGGTGGAGGGAGGGTAGGTAAGTCAGCCTCTGGGTGCAGTTGTGTTTCTTCCTTAGCGGTAAAGGGAGCCTTGGTGTGACTACCTCAGGCATAGACCTAGAAAAGTGAATGGCACAAGTTAGTGGTGACAAACCCATTCAGTTTCCTGTGTGCTGTATGGGCTATCCTGCTGCCAGAGGAGATGGAGCAGGGTGAAGATTCAGATGGTGCTGCCGAGTTGGCTGCAGGATATCCTAGCAGAGGAGAGAGGGAGCCTGCCAGAATGCCTGGGTCACGGTGACTTAGGACTCTCCCTGCAGTGTCCCTTGAGTGCCAATTTCTGTTCCAGGATTCATGAGCCTGGATTCTGAAGTACCCAGGAGGCATTATCTGACAACACGTGGGAGACTGTCAGTGCTCCAAAGAATGCCTTGTGTCTCTGTTCCTGCATGCGTCCAAAACTGCCCTATATAGTTACTAAAATTTAATAGAAATTTTGCTTCTCGGTGCCACCTAATGTTCATGGATGATAATTTTAACATCTAAATCTTTTCCCTGAAGAGCGAATAGAGGTAAAGCTAATGTCCCTGGAGAGGCGCTACCCATATAAGAAGTTGTTTTTCTTGTGGCTTTTTGATTTTTTGGGAAATCATGAAGGTAAAATAATAGTAGGTAGATGGGCGGCCGTGGAAGTAGTACCTACAACTGGGAAATCCTCGTGCTTTTCGTCTTGGTGTTGATGCTTCTTTAGGGAGTCAGAGGGAGGTGCTAGGGAGGTGTTTTAGTGTCCTTTTACGTATGTTTTAGTATGCTTTAGCGTACAAATTCAGTAAAACATGTTTTGGTCCTAACTTTAATTCTAAATGTCTTTGTGTTTTTTAGCTTGGTGGGACGGTAGGCGATATTGAAAGCATGCCTTTCATTGAAGCTTTCCGCCAGTTCCAGTTCAAAGCCAAAAGAGAGAATTTTTGTAACATTCATGTCAGTCTAGTTCCCCAGGTAAGGACCTAAAATGTTTTGGTGGTCAGGGGCTTCCCCAATTCAGAAGTTGCTTTCTAAATATGTCTTTCTGAAATGCTATAACTATAGGCTTTGTTATATTTGTATTTCTATATATAGAAACTTGTGGAAGAAATGCAGAGAATATATGGTTACATATTTTAAAAGGTTTGCAAGAACTGAACAGAAACTTATCACAGTGTGTAAACGTGTAATAGGAGTTGCAGCAAATGTAGCGTTGCATCTTTGACTACTGTTTTTCCCTGTGGAATTGTTTCCTAGCTTTCGCAGGTAAACTTGCTGTCTACAGCTGAAAACTTTCAGTTTCCCTTCATTTGCATAGCCTTTCATTTCTGCAAATCTCATATAAAATGCAGTGATGTAGCCAGATTTCACAGCCATTTGGACTTATTAACAAGATCAAATTCTAAGCTCTTCCTGGAGTTATTTAAGATTTCTGTTGCTGCCCCCCCCCCTTTTTTTTTCTTTCCTTCCCCAAGATTTACAGTAACTGTAGTTCATGAAATGGTTTAGGCTACTCTTGTAATTTCAAAGCATAATACTGTGTTTTGAAACATAATCTGGGTTTTTTTCCCTAGACAACATTTTTAATGTGTGTTTTGATGTTTGACATTAATTTCATAGACTCTGACTGCTGTGTAAGCCAGAACAATCTGAATGGCAGTTGCCCTTGGTTCAGAAATGCAATTAAGAAAAGGTGTTAGGAAGCAGTGCTGCAATAAGAATTGGTTAATTAGGAATCACAAAGAAAAACAACATATCCTTATGTGCCAAGCAGATGGGGTGAACTCCACTTAATATCAAAAGCACATGAAGGTGTTTTATGCCATATAATGCCTGATAAAACCTCATCTGTATTATCTGTTCTGCTTTTGGAGATAATTTATAATCTTAACCAAACAAAAAATCTGCTGAAAAAAATTCTTCCATGGTTATGTTAACAGTACTGGAGAGCATGAGTATTCCTTGTCTCGGAACTGGATTTGACAGAGCAACTCGATAGTTACTGGAGTGCAGATAGATCAGTCTTGGTTCTTCTCTCTCTTTCTTTCCTTTTCTGTCCAGGCTAGGTTACTTATGGAGAAAAAATCAGAAATATAAAAAATTAGGTATTTGGAGGGAGCAGTGGATTAAAACTTTCGGATTTCTGCTCTCTCATTCCCTCACTGTAATGCACACCTACTTACAGACCTGAACTCCGGTTTCTGCTGGTTGCTTTCAGTCTTTGAGATTAACATGATAGTGTACAGGGGTATTTAAAATTCATGTGAATTGTCTAAGAACTGGGTCAAAGTTTTTACAAGATGAATGGGGTGGAGAGTCCCGATTAGCCTAATGAATCATTGCTATATGTCATCATAATTTGATATACCAAATTCTGCTCTTCTCTGACCAGCCAAGCTCTACAGGAGAGCAGAAGACTAAACCCACCCAAAACAGTGTTCGTGAACTCAGAGGTCTTGGTCTCTCACCAGATCTGGTAAGTTTGTTACATGGCTTTGGATTTGAAAATGCAGTACTGGCATGTTGCAATGACATTCTAGTCTAAATAATGCTTAGGTTGAGAGTTCTTGTATATTACTAATAAGTAAAAGTATCATGGGTTTTTCCCGCCCCCCACGTCACAGAGACTGCAGAAAGACAGCTTTTTCAGGGGTTTGTTGTACGAATGTCTCAGTACTTCTGTTTTGCTTCACAACCTTGACGTTGCTGTTCTGTTAGATTGTTTGCAGGTGCTCCACTCCATTGGATACCTCAGTAAAAGAAAAGATTTCCATGTTCTGTCATGTTGAACCAGAGCAGGTAAAGATTGCTGTCTGCACTCCCTTGCAATAAATATTCTAACTATTTGTCAAATGCTGAGTGGAGTTTTATCTGAGTGTAGCATTTTTGTGTTTTAGCTGTGTCTTTTGTTAGCTGCATAATTTATTTGGTGCTTTGTCTTTTACCTACCTTCCTTACACATGTAACCGTTGCAAAAATAGTTCTTTTTATGCCAGCACACAGGCTTTCTTATAAGGTAGTTAGCATAAGCTTAGAGAATTCTATGGAATCCAAGGTATTTTCTCGATAGCTAGTTTTGACCTTAGTTATTCTTCCACGTTCCTTCTGTGAATACAGAAGAATGAGGTTTTTCAGTGTTAGAGGCCAAAGAGTAGTTGCCTAAAATTAGGTTTAAAGGATACCTGAATGCATTTCAAAGAATACATGAATGTACGCTGCTTTTCTCACGATATTATTTTTCTGCTCAACATTGCATGAGGAGGGATTGCTCAGAAAAATTGAAATGGTATTTGAGAGAAGCATTGCTTCACTTGAATGTTATGTGATATACAAAAATTCCACATTAGCATGATTCTTTTTATACTGAGACTTCTCTGCATAGCATAGTCTGAGGTAGACCTTGGAAAATAATCAGTCCGTAGGCTAAATATTACCAATTTGCAATCCAGCCGGAGCATGAAAAACTTTGTTGTTGTGAAAGACTGAGTATCACTTCACAATTCCAGGTTCTGCCAAGTCATCTTTGATAACTTTCTATACAACATGATCAGACTGAGTTGTGTAGTTTCACGTATTACATGCAAAATTAGCTGCCAATAATACTGATCTGTCAGCAGTACAGTATCTGCCTCGTGTTGGTCAGGAATTGAAAGTTGGCTCTTGTCAGTCACTTTCCAGGAAGTTTAGTGCAGTTTTACATAGCTGTCTCTCTGGCTGCAGTTGCACTTGAATTGAGACGTAAGTGCTGTTGACTATAAAGGAGGAGAATTTGCATCCTAGGGGGTTTTACTGGTGCAGTGTTGAACTCAGCTTTCATTTGAGTCAGGAGAAACGAGGCTTTAAAAATAGTTGTGCCAGTATATTTTTGATCCTTAAAGTACAGTCCCATTTCTGATGGACAGGTGACAGTTGTCCAGAGCCATCTTTCCTTTCTGTGGAAGCCCGTTTTGTTGAACTAGAACCACTGGCGTAGATACACCTCATTGACCTAAGAGTTCTTTGCTCATAGTTGTTTAATCCTAAATTTGATGAAGGAAAATTTATTGCTGTGTTGAGATCACAGATTTCCCTGGGCTTTAATCAAACTGGGAACCCTGGTTAAGAATGACAGTGGTGGGAAATGGGGAAGCTGGCCTTATGGGCAGTTTAACCATAGTTTCCGTTAGGATTCCCAAGAAGCTGTATCACAGAAGTCTCTTTGCAGTGTTCTTTGAACTTTGATATGCACTTGCATGACTTGCATAGCAGCTGACTGTCTTACTGCTAGGTTATCGTGTTCTAGCCCTTCCCAAGGAGCTCCAGTGAGCAGTAATCTCTGGGAAGTGTTGACGGATGACCTTTTCAAGTATGTGGAAACTACTGCTAAGCTATTCATATGTTGTTATGTTGTTCAACAGATGTTATTTCCTGGAAGTTTATGTGGTCATATGGGTGTCTGCTAGAGATAGCAGCTCTCTGAATATCTGTCTAAAAATAATTGCAGAGTCACTTAGATCTGGTTTAATGACACTCATATTTTATGAACAGGTCATCTGTGTTCATGATGTCTCTTCTATCTACCGGGTTCCTCTGTTGTTAGAGGAGCAGGGAGTTGTTGACTACTTCAGACACAGGCTTGACCTTCCCATTGAGAGGCAGCCCAGGAGGATGCTCATGAAATGGAAGGAAATGGCTGACAGGTGAGCTGCACTGCTGGGCGTAGTTTGAATTAAGACTCCAGATTAGTTTCTTTTCTTGGTCGTTGGTTATTAGATGACAAGTGTGATTTCATGCTCCTCGAGTGTTCTCATGTGGTCAATTTTTTTCTTTCTTTTTTTTAACTACAAAAATTCATTTTCTTCCTGGATGTTTAACTGTTAAAAAAAATCCTTCAACATGAGGATCCTGTAAGATAATATTATTGAGCTCCATATCTTGTGTTGGTAGTGTACTATGTCAAAACTAGTTTGAAGTAATTAAAAGGTGGACTGCTCTGCCCTCCCTTTTTATACAAAAAACCCAGTGATGTTACAAAGTGGTGAAATCCTTTTGTAGGCATATGTAGGAGTCATCAGGAGCGTCAATAAAAATGTATCTTTTGAGTGTGCTTTCAAGCAAGTGAAACAACTGTTTGGTAACTGTTCTGTCTGAGACTCCTAGGACGTTTGTTTGGTGTGGGGTTTTTTGTTTGTTTGTTTTTCTTGTGAGGCATAGACTTCATGTTTGTGGGGAAATAGTGAATTGAATTAGTTCATTTGGTATTCAGCCCCTTTCTGAAGCCTCAGATATGTTTGTCCTTAAATTAATTTTCAAGATCTAGATGTTTCCCTTTATATGCACAACACAAACCACCATTGTCAAGAACATTTTCTTTTGACAGGGAAAACCCTTGGTAACCAGCTTGGTTGAAGGTACTTAGCGATTTTGAAATAAACTTTAAACAATCTCTTGAATGCCAGATAAATCTCATGCTGCCAGATGCTGGGGATTGAAAGTGTAGGCAGTACGACTGCAGGACTCTAGAAGTCCTTTCTGTATTTCTAGGTGCTGAAGTGAACTCAGTCAGAAGCAGCGTGGGAAGATGCTGTGCAGTGTAAACATATGCAGAGTTGTGCTTTGATCCTCTCTCCTAATAGTTTACTGCAGACTTTGAATCTAATACAACTCCCTGAAAAGACAGTTTGGATCAACTCAAAATGGTTTTCAGCATAAGGAGTGAAAAGTTAATTTATACATGACTTTCTGCAGCTCTTTTTCTCTGTCATTGTTTTGGGTTTGTTTTGTGTGGTTTTTTTTTTTCCTGCCTTCTATTCTTGCTTTGATGTTTCTAAGTCATAATTGCTAAAAAAGGTCATCTCTTCCGAAGTCATCATCTCTCTAGTTGGACAGACTTTCAAGAGCCCAATTGTTTATATTACTTAAAAGCTGAATAGAATGTAAGTGATTCTTGCCCTCATTTCCTGTTAATGACGAAATAACCCTTGTGTTTTGATTTTGTTTAGGTATGACCGTCTCCTTGAAACATGTTCCATTGCGCTTGTTGGCAAATACACCAAGTTTTCAGATTCCTACGCATCTGTCATTAAAGCACTGGAGCATTCTGCACTGGCTATTAACCACAAACTTGACATTAAGGTAGGGGGGTGTGTGTGTAAAAATTCCCTCCCCTCATACTCCTTCCACCTACAGTGCGACCCATCTTAATTAAGCTTTTCACAAACCCTTAGACAGTAAAGGAGAGGTGATTCAGCCAGTAAACTTTAAATTGGTCCTTGGATTACAGCATCAAAACATCTGTTGTCAGGCATAAAACAGCTTCAAAGCAAACCAGCCTTTCATCCTGTAAGTTACACAAGGTGTCTGTGTAACTGATGGAAACTCTTCAGCACTCAGTGTTGCATGCTGAACTGTGATAAAGCAGTAGATATATTTGAGGAGGGCATTGTTTGCTTTGATTTCTCTGACAGTTGTTGAAAGTGATCTTTTTTTTTTTTTTTTGTTAGGGTTGTTGCTGTTATTCTTGTGGCACTCAGAGGTTTTATAATGCTTCTGCCTCAGACTTTATTAAGGTTTTAATGCTGGTTTGGCTCCACAGGTGCTTTTAAGGGTCTTGGTTGTAGCTAGATGCTCTGAAGAGGTGAAAAAAATATCTTATGTCAGAAATTTTACTTTAAATATAATTTTTAAATGTCCAGCGGTTTCATGATGCTGGTGAGTCATGGAAATAGGTACTTGCTTTATATAGCATTGTTCTATGTTTTGGGTTACCTTTCGACTTACAAATCAGTAGAGGAGAAAAGAAAACCACTAAGACTGGAGAAGGGTAAACCCTGTGCATGCATCTATGGGTAGTTCCTGACACAGCTGTATTTGTACATTTCAGGAGGGGAATGGGATCTGTGAGTTCTCTGCATGGAGATCTTATGCTAGGTTCAAGAATGGTTTAGTAGTATTCCAGACTTTTTTAAAAAAAAAAGAAGAAAAAAAAGAAAAGCCCAAGACATAAATGGTTGTTTGAAAGGGTAAGCAGACTGCCAGGATGTTCAGAAGTTCAGAGATACTGGAATACTGGAGATGAGAAACTGGAAAATCTGCAGTTTTTTCCATATGTAACATTGGTCACAGCATCCTTTAATTTCAGCAGCCTGTGTTTCACCGTATCCTATTTGTTCTTCAGTCTCTTTTGAAGATTAATTGATGTATATTTGATAAGATAGCGATACAGTCTTTTCTCGCTGTGTGGTTGTTTCTGTCTGCATAGCCCTGTGTTCCCATCTCGCTGTGCTCTGTTAAGACTTCACATTTAATGGGTCTGGGGCTTATGGGCATCAACTTCATTTATGTGGCAGCAGAGCTGCAGAGAAGGGAAGATACAAAAAACATGGCCTTGTGCATCAGTAGTATGATGGTGCTGGAAAGCAGTTTCGTTGACTAGCAGACAGGAAATCAGCTCAGAAAAAACATAAGCAAGTGTCTAATAGGAAACAAATCCAGAGCTATCGAGGAGGGATGATGATATCTTAATTTAACGAGAATTAAGGAGACCCCATATTTACACTCTTGTGGCAGTATCTCATCATCTTTTTTTTGGATTTCTTCCCAGTATATTGACTCTGCTGACTTGGAGCCAGATACTCTGCAGGAAGAACCTGTCCGATACCATGAAGCATGGCAGAAGCTGTGTGGTGCTGAGTAAGACTCTTACGCTCTGGCCATTTCTTTGGAGCATGTCTGGTAAACTTGCTGCTATTGACAGTTTTGGAATTAAGAGCCTCACTGGAGACTGTTTTCTGAGGCACCATACCAGCACACTCTGACATTGCCCCAAATACCTCTCAGTGAAATTCAGGATAAGATGTAAAATGGAGAATTGTTAAATAAGTGAGTTTATGAAAGGCAGCAGTAGGGGAGATGATCATGCAGATGAGGATATGCACAGGCTTAGCGGGGAAACTGGGTGAGAGGAAATAAGGGGAACGGATAGGTACTGGCAAAGGCTGTTAAAGCCGGAGAGGATGGAAGGTGTGAATGTGCTATAAAGTTTTTCAGGAAGAAAGTGTGAGAAGGGGACAAAGCATTAGGATGCAGAGGAGTGCCAAGAGTTAGCTCAGAAAACAAGAACAAGTGGGGCTCATTAGCCCTGACGGAAGCAGGCTTTGGGTGCTACCAGGAGAAGGAAGAATTTCCTGCAGAATTTGGTGTCCTTGTTCTTGCAGTAAGTACAGTGTGATGGCGCAGCCAGCGGCTTCCTCAGCATGGGCCTGGCTGGGTGGTAAATTTGCAAACACGTTTGGCGCAGAGCATGTGCGTCATGCAATATGAACCATTCTAATGAACCTGCATTGTATTGGGGATTTCTCAGGAAGGTAAAATGTGCATTTATAAAATGTTTCCCTGAAAATTCTGTGACATTTTATGTGACGACTCGTGAAATCCTATGGAAACTGCTGCAGACAGGCTTTGTCACATAGGGCACTTTAAAGTACTTTTCAGGAGTGAGGTCTTGCAAGCCCAAGATTTTATGGGAGAGAGGTGGTTATGTGGTTGGGGAGAGCCATGCTGGTGAGCCTCGTGTGAATGGAATCTTTTCATCCTCATGCAGTGGAGTTCTGGTTCCTGGTGGATTTGGTGTTCGAGGGACAGAAGGCAAAATTCAAGCTATTTCCTGGGCAAGAAAACAGAAAAAACCCTTCTTAGGTGAGAAACATGTTCATCCGTAAGAGGAAATGAAGGAGGTTGAATAACAGCCTAACTGGTCTGCAGCAAGAGCTTTACTGAGTTTCATTAGTATTTAGAATGTACAATTTTGAAGATAATTGGCTGAGGAAGGCAATGATCTATGCTCTGCTTAACCAGGTAATTCAGCCGTCTGTAGTTGGCTCTGAAGTGGTCAGGGCTGGCTGGAATGTGATGACATGGAGTCTCTACGAGGGGGTAGGAGTCTCGGAGGAAGTTTCGGAGGAGGCTGTGGTGATCTTGGCATGAGGAAATATGTGACTGCATTTAAACGAAATGGCAAGAGACTGGACACATGTGAGCAGAGTGGATGGAGGAGGGAGGGGTGGAGTAAAACTTGTCAGAACTACTTGGTACAGGGTGAAGAGACCCCTAAATCCAAGTCAGAGGAAAACCTGGATGAGACAGACCTTTGACTCGGGACTGCTCTGTGAAGGTGTGTGTGCTCTGCAGTGGTCCTTGTCCTGACTTGCTCTGTGTTCTGCCTTGCCTTCTGCAGGAGTTTGTTTGGGAATGCAGTTAGCAGTTGTGGAGTTTGCACGCAGTGTTCTTGGTTGGCAAGGTAATTGCACAAAACACTTCCTGGGTTTTGGTCATTTCTTTGATTGCTTGAGTAATACCTGTAATTTTTAATTTTTTATTGATAGGTAGATTTAATTTTTTTTCTAGGCCTGTAAAATTCCCCATCTCCTTTGCTAAGGAGAAGGGAAAAAGAACTATTTCCTTATCCTATTGAAATAAAAATCAATGGAGTAGGGCATGCTTATAATGACAGAAAACTTTCTATTGCTTAGAGTGAGGTTCAGCTCCTGAATGAAATACCTAAGTAGAGTTGTGCCTGTGTGTGCTTGACATCCTAAATTCCCATTATAGCCAGAGGGAGTGAAGACCAAAAAGCAATTCAGCTGACAAGGCATTTGCACCTACTTCAGTGAGTTGAATTGCTTTCTGGGCTCCAGAGCTTGAACTGACTAGGTCCCTGTTGTCAAAAATCCCTGTACAGAGTGCTAATTTTAGTTTCTCAGCCTGATTCTGAGTGTCACTAGTAGTGAAGGTAAGGGAAAATGTATTTCTGAGTATTTTTGTTCCCTTCCCTCTCCCTGGCTTTATTTAAAATATTCTAAGCTATTGAATGTATGCTTTTCCTGAATGACCCTCACTTTCATCACTGATGGAACTAGACTGGTTGCCCTAAGGTTGCAACCTCCAGGCAGTCTCAGAAATTCCTATCAAACAGGGCTGACAGAGTCCTGTTTCTGCTCTCTGGGGCTGAGCTGGCAGCTCTGTGCTGGTGAGCAGCTCAGCACAGTTAAGGTTGATGCTCCAGAAGCATGGGGATGAGACACAGTACAGCTGTACCTGGGGGAGGTCCTGTAAGTGCATGTCATGGTCTGAGGGATTTCGTGTTTCTAATTGCAGATGCTAACTCGACAGAATTTGACCCCAAAACTGCTCATCCAGTGGTGAGTTTATGGCGACTTGCCTGTAATATCCCTACTGTGCTAGACTTCTCTGCACCTACCTCTTGGTACAGTTAAGAGCTTGTAGCTTTTAAGTCTGTTTTCCATCTTTTACTAATTTGAAAAGAAATGTCTTTGCCTAGTTAACTGTGGCAGTTGCTTTTTCGTAGAAGATGAAGTGCTTATTATAGGTGAAACACTGATTACTGGTTTTTTTTATATTTTTAATTACACTTTTTCATAAAACAAGGTGTTTTCTAAGGTAAAAGGTTCTTAAAGCGCAGCTTGAAAGCTAACTGATTTCACAGAGTAAATGATTTGATGATATCCAGATTCCACTGCATAATTGTGATCTCAGAAATTAACATAGGCAGACATGAATTCCTTGGAACACTTGTGGACAGGTTTCTGAACCTGCATTTCTCAGACTGCAGGCTCTGTGTGCCTTGTCCAGGGTCCAGCATAATGATTGGCCTCAGCTATAATCTAAAGTGCTACTCAAAAGAAAAAAGTTTTCAAAAAAATAGCTTATGAAGGTATTTATCACAGTGTAAGCGATTCTGATTTGGGGATTTTGTTTCTGTTGCTTGTTTGTTTGTTTAACACTTAGGTCAGTAAATAGTGCAGTATTACTGCGTGGGATCTATGTAAGCTTTCACTGAGATCGTTTCCTATGCAAGAGCTTCTGGAATACCCCCAAACCTTCTGTACGTTCTGTACAGCCTTTATTGGAATAACTCAACTAACTAATCTAGTTTTGTTGGTCTGCCTTGTCAAGACAATGTTCCTTGGGGTGATTTGCTTGTTTTCTGTATGGATGTTGTTTTTTTTCCCCTTTTAATGTTTCAGAGTCTCCCTGAGACTGTTATTCCTCCCTCATTCTCACCTCCCTCTCTGAATGCTTCTCGCAGGTCATAGACATGCCGGAACATAATCCTGGACAAATGGGTGGGACCATGAGGCTTGGCAAGAGAAGAACACTGTTCCAAACCAAGAATTCAATCATGAGTAAGGCATTTCTTACCTCTTTTGGAAGTGTTTCCTGGGAATGAGATGCATATATGGGGAAGAGAGACTTGGGAATGTTAAACCATCCTTGAATGGCTGGTGTTTGCAGACTTTGTTCTGGTAGTGAAATGGAAATTCATCGAATTTGGTCCCCTCGAGAAGCAGCAGATTCCGATGGATGCTGTTCATATGAACTTGCTAAAACTTGGCATCACGTGAACTGTTTGGTATTTGCTCTAAGAAGTTTGTAGGGAAGCTGTACGGAGATCATGATTTCTTGGAAGAGAGACATAGACACAGATTTGAGGTAAAAATGCTATTGTAGGTTTTGAGCTTTTTTGTGTAATCCAAACACAAGAGATCACGGGTTTTCTTGCTTCTGGTCTTCTAGGTCAATCCAGAATTGAAAAAGTGTTTTGAAGAGCAAGGTCTGAAGTTTGTAGGCCAGGATGAGGAGGGAGAGCGAATGGAAGTGGTTGAGCTGGAAGGTAAGTACTTAAGCAATTAGTTTGTGGGTGTAGGTACTTGCAAGGGAAAGTGTGCAAAGGGTAGTTGAGCAGGTTTTTGTGTGGGACCAGTCCAGGCACTCTCAGAATGATTCCATCCATAAAATTACATTAAAAAAAAAAAAAAAATCCCATGTGCCTGTCTTATTTAGGGACAAAAGGCAGGATAGAAATGACATTTCTTCCCCATCATCAGGGCTTCAATGTGATCAGCACATTCAGCAGCAGTTCAGCCACAGGCTTAAGAGATCTGACGTTAATATTTTCTGATTCTTTCTCTTAGAGCATCCTTTCTTCGTTGGTGTTCAGTATCACCCCGAGTTCCTCTCTAGACCAATTAAGCCATCTCCCCCATATTTTGGCCTCCTCTTGGCATCTGCAGGAAGACTCACACATTATCTACAAAAGGGCTGCAGGCTCTCGCCCAGGTAGGTTGAAGGAAGACGCCAGTCAGACCTTTCACAAGGCAGTGCTTCTTCCTATGGGATAAACTGGAGAATCCTCTTGGTACAAAGTTACTGCGGGGTGACGAGGGGGTATTGGCAGCACCTCTTTTTCCACTCTTTGAAACCTCTTGTCCTGCATTTTAAGATTGACTGTAGTGCCTTAGAGCTGTCCCACAGTGAGGCCCTGACTTGAGGGAGAGGTAACTGCAGTCTTGTGTTGCCAGTCAGAGGTGTTTGAGGAAACTGCAGCTCTCAGATGTTCAGAGACCTCGTGGGGTTTCCCCACATTCCTTGTACGGGGTCCTAGCTACAGGCTGGTCCTTAAGAAACTTGTTCCTGCTGGTGATTTAAAGAATGGGCCCTGGTGGTTGCAGCTTAATTTTTTTTTTTTTTTCCCCTCTGCTGACTTAAGCTTTCTTTTGTCTCAATTTGCAAATCAACTAATGTTCTGGGTGGACTTAATGGTGTGTTTACTTCCTTCTCCTGCTCCCTAACACCCTGCAGTTCTGCTCAGCAGTCATGGCAATATGCAACAAATAAACGTCACTTTGGTAGTGACCCATTTTCCTCCTTATAGAGGAGAACACAGAAGGTTTGCCTGTGCAGCTGGAGTGCTAACATGCACTAAACAAATAAACCCAAACTAAATGCAAAAAAGAAATAGCAGTGAATGTATTAAACTAAAGCAATGAAAAAAGCAAAGTATTGGCCTTTCTGGGTTGTGCTGCGATGCAGCTATACCACAGGAATTCCTGTGTCAATGTCTGGAGAACGGCTGTCAGTTGTGCTCTGACTGATCTGCTCTGAAGAGTGCTTCTGTGTGAAGATGCTTCACTTCAATGTTTCCAAGGGTTTGAGGGATCTTTTAATTTCCTGGTTTTGCACGTTTGAGTTTTAAATGGCCTCTCACAGCAGAGGAGCTGAAGTTTGCTCTGTACTGTAGCATCCTAGGTGAGTATTATCTACTGTTGGAGTCTTTTGTGATTGTGAACACAAAATTGTTTTACAGTTAGCGTATAATCTAAAATACTGGTGGCAGTTACAGCCCAGCCTGTACTCCTTTTTATTCCTGTGCTCTCGTAACATTTATCATGTGTTCAGGTAAGTCTCATCATAGCACTCTCTTGAGGTTTGCCAGTGACCCCAAGCCAGGGGGAACAGACTTTACGCTTGAGGACGGGACCACTGTTTGGAGGGACCTGGGCTGGAGGAGTGGGCTGGCAGGAACCTGAGAGGTTTAACAAGGACAAATGCAGAGTCCTGCATCTAGGAACCCCTTGCAGTGACACAGGCTGGGGAAGGGGCAGCTGGGGGGCGGCTCTGCTGAGGTCTTGGTGAACAGCAAACTGAACATGAACCAGCAGCGTGCGCTGGCAGCAGAGGAAGGTCGAACAGCAGCCTGGGGTGTATGAGTAAAAGCACAGCCAGCAGATAGGAGTGATTATGTCTCTTGACTTGGCATTTGTTAGACCACATCTGGAATATTCACTGCAGTTTGGGGTTGCTAGTACAAGTAAAACATCAGTAAAGTGGAGACTAGTGGAGGGCCACTAAGAAGGTCAGGAGGTTGGAGTACTTGCACAGTGAGTAGAGACGGAAGGAGCTGGGCTTGTTCGGCCTGGAGAAGGGAAGACTTTATCAGGGACCTAAGAGCAGCTGCAGCACCTACAAAACTGTTATCAAGAAGATGAAAACAGGATCTTTGCAGAAGTGTATGGTGGGAGGATGAGAGACAAGGGGCATAAATTGAAATAAGAGAAGTTCTGACTGGATATAAGGAAAATCTCACCATTAGGCCAGTAGCGCGTTGGTGCAAGTTGCCCGGAAAGGCTGCGCAGTCTCCGTCTTTGGAGAATTTTGGAATGTGACTGGATAAAGCCCCGAGCAGCCATGACTGATGTGCTCGTTGTCCCTGTGGTGTAACTGTCCTGAGGTCCCTTCTGATCTGAATTATTTTGTGATTCTGAACAAGCTGTTTAATGGTTTCAAGGCAATCAGCTGTTACTGGGAAGCTGAAATAGAATGGCTTATGGGTGATTAAGCAGTCTCCTATTTCCTATTTAATGAAATTCCTTTAGAATAACTTTGCCTTATCAAATGCCTATTATATATATAATCATTTTAATTCACAAACCTTAAAACTGATGATGACTCAGCCCTATTTCCAAAGGGACAGCTACACTAGGAATTTTGTGTGCTCTGCTTTTCAACCTCAGCTAGCAGTACTTACTACCAAACCCCGCTAACTAAAATCTCTCTGAATTCTGCAGGGATACCTACAGTGATAGAAGTGGCAGCAGCTCGCCTGACCTGGAGATAACAGAGCTGAAGTTTCCATCAGTAAATCATGACTGATTCTGGTAACTTTAATGACCTCAACATCTTCCTTTACGGAAAAACCTCCTTGCCCAGTCTTTCCTCCTGGCATCTGAATGTTTCGCATCAGTTGGCAGAAAACTGACACACCATGAAAAGTGGTGGTGCTCACATACCTGTTCCAGCTGTGCTGAGGGATGCATAATACCTCATGTCTGTGTAACAGATGTGGGGGGGTGTTTCCTTAGCAAATTGACACATAATAAAGTATAAAAATACATGCAGGAGTTTGAGATTAAATTCAAATAAAGAAAGCACAAATCTAGCACACATTGCTGAAAATGGAGGCAAAGCTGAGCAAGGGGTTACTGGATTTAGAAAGTTTAGCGTTTTGGGAGCAATATCTCACCTTTGCCAAAACACTTTTGAAATTGTCGTTTTCTCCATCTCTTGAGACAGTGAGTTTCTCTGTCAAACCAGTGGGCTTGAGCTCTGAATTGTAATAGCTGCTGCAGATGTTATGTGGATGCAAAAATTGGAAGTATATAATCCAGTCTTGGGGGGGGGGCACTAAAACCCTATCATTCAGACTTCACTAGCAAAAAAGGTAGACTTAATTTTTAAATGAGTTCTCCCTTGGTGCAGTAGGTGATTGTGGATGTAACACTTTCTCCCAGTGTTCTGGCTGGCTTTGTGTGGTATTTTTGGAGAAGTTCAGCAGCATTTGTGCACACGCATGTCAAGTGAGAGCAGGGGTTTATTGTTGAATGCCAGGGGACCAAGGATGTCCCAACTCTTTTTTTCCTCCCCCCTCCCTTCATATAACAGACGCTTCCAAAGGTGGAAATGAGTGTTAGCCCGCGTCTAGCACAGAAGTGCTTCCCCATCCCTGGTCACGGGACTGGGCCTTTATGGTGCTGAAGATACTGGAATCGCTAGGTGTTGGGTTGTTCCAGATCTGGTTGGCAGCAAACTAAAAGCTGAATAGTCCTCTCTAGATTTTTTTTTTTTTTTTAATCGTCCTGAAGATACGCTGAACCTTTGGCTTGCTGACAGTATCCAGAGTGCTCCCTAATGTGAGAAGTCTGGTGCTGCACTGATAGCCGACAGCATGGAGGCTTGTCCCGAATGGAGAAGTTGTAGAGAAAGTGACACTGGCACATGTGGTGTGTCCGCTGCCTGGCTGGCTGGTACACCTCTCACTCAACTCTCTCTGAATAGCTGCATCATTATGAAGATTTTCCTTTGGTACCAGGCAGTGCTGGGAAGGGCATGAAGTTAATTCTTAGTTTACAGTGCTCACTCCCTACGTTTTACTGAACCATCAACTTGTAGAAGGCGCTTGCTTTCTTAGAGATGTAATACTCTAGTCTTGGTGCTGCTGTAGTGCCCCTATAAAACCAACAGACTACTTGTATCTGGGGAAGAGGAGTGCTGTCAGGTCCATGTGTGGTGTTTGTCTGGGGTGACGTATGTAAGACTCAGACTTCAGCGTGCTGTGCAATTCTAGCTCTTCTCTGTCAGTAATTCCTGCTCCTTTTTCTTTCTCTCTTTCTCCAGATGTGTCTTTGCTGAAGAGAAGAGTCTTCATTAGATTTTCCAGGCATTCTTACAGCAATAGCTTGAACACTGTCAGCTTTGGGCTTTCTTAAGTTATGGTTTTATAATTTTCGTTATGAAATCCTGTCCCTTTATTTCTTCTTCTATACATTTATTTTTGGTGTAGATTCTCTTTATTTCTGGAGGAAAGCTCATCACAGCACATGCATCTCTAGACTTTCTTCATTTAGCACCATCTTGAAGATAAAAAGCAAATTCGGGTATGGGATTTGATGTGTTGGGGAGAATCCAGTTGCACACTTCCTTCCCTAATGCGTGGCAACACCGGCATGAGTTTGTATGAGACATGGACAGCTGAGCAGCTTTCTCCAGCCTTTCTGCTCCCTCAGCAGTCTTTATTACTTAATGGTGAAATTACGTGGTTGACTAGATTTTGGGGCCTCACTCAATTCTTGAGCTGTGCTGTGCTGCAGAGGATGAGTCTGTTCAGCTTTATGCAGCTTTCCTTTGGCAGGGGGTGGGATGTTTTGTTATTTTTTGGGGGTTTTTTGAGGTTTTTTTCAATAGTATTTAAAGCATTTGGCACTGGTGGTTTTGGTGCATTCATTGCTGGCAATGAACTTTTAACCAGGAAAATCTTCCTGGAATAGAGTTAACCTGGAGCATGATCAGCTCTAACTGACATGTCACTCTGCAGGGATATGAATCACTTGGATCGGGGAGGGGGGGCATGGGGGGAGCGGGCAGGGGAAGAAGCAAAAAACTGTCAGGAAAGCCCCCTGTTGCCTCAAACGAGGCGGAACTTTAGCCCTTTCTATGCCAGTGTTTGCTGGTGCTGCTTCTTGGGCTGGGAAATTGCAACTCCTTGCATCAAGGGGAGGTACAGAAGAGACACAAGTGACCTACTTTCAGATGCTGCCTTTTAACAGCTCCCGTCGTGATTTGCCTTGGACTGAACAGTTCATGGTGCTTGCTTTCGTTGGTTGGAATTGGAGCCTTCCGTTGCTTTCTTTTATACGGCGGAGCCATGCATCCCGCGCTCGATGCAATACAGAAGTGCTGTTTCCTGAGGGAGGGGCTTCACAATTTGCCTGCGGTGTTCCTTGGTTC